CAAATCCAGCACTTGTATGAGTTTCCCAATGAAACCTTAATTACTTACATTTTACTTTTCTTTCTGTGTTTTAATAGACTTCCTACTCAGCTCTTCAAGATATTCTTCCTTATTGGCCCCAGTGGCTTTTTATGTTGGCCCTTGAAGGACTTTGGCTGTGCCTCACCTTCTTTCTGAGTGTACCTGGGTGTCCAAAGTCAGTTGAAGTTTAAATACTTTTTCTTTTTTCAATGCTATCTTTTCCAGATACCTGTAGGATTTAATACGCTGTTCCTGTTAATAACACTTCAATGTTTAACATTCAGATAATAGTTCTTTGCCATTAGTTAACTTGGGGGACAACTGACTACAATATTCTCATGAAGAAGTTTTACTAAAATCAGTTGGAGCTAGCTATTCTAGGAGTGCTATCTATCCCTAGACTGCCTTTTTGTTTACAGTGATTCGCATATGGAACTCCTAATGGGCTGTTAATGTGGCTTAGATATGACACATAGGCTAAGAATTTTGTGATGAGGATCCTGTTTTTGGATTTTGATGGACAGTGGAAACAGCAGTGAGATGAAATGGTGGACACTGGCCAGTTAGGGAAATTGTCGACATATTCTGGAATCCATTGTACAATCTTAACAGCTTACAAAGCTGCTTTCTCTTTATATTAACATTACACAAAAAGATCTCCTGACCCTTTCAAATCAGTCTGCTCACACCCATGTTAACATATGACTCACTTTTTTTTCCCTCCTGTAGAGGCTACCTTGGACCTGGAGGCATTGGCAGTTTTGGAAACTTTCCCAACTGTACTGGAGGGGCAGCAGCTTACATTGATCATTTGCTGCTAGGAGGAAAACATATCTATCAACATCCATCTTCTAATGTGAGTTAAACATTCCAAACATCTATCAACTATTTGTAAAATGGTTTAACATGCTTAAAAGTTTTATCACTGCTTATTAAGAACATTGGAAGGCAAAACATGATTTTAATTTTTGTAATTCTTCAAACTTGCTGCCAGCTTTTTACTTTTTGTATTTATGCCTTGAAATCAAGTAACTGTACTTCTTAATGTATTTAGATAATGTTTTCATTAGAAATACGTTATTTTTAAAAGGTAAAGAAAATACAGAAAATGAAGAAAATACAATTTCATTCAAACCAGGAAATCAATATTACCATTCTCTAATTTCTTTAAGTAATTTTATGATTGCATATTGCAGAAATAGTTGAGATACCCCATGTCCAAGACTTTAGAAAGCAGATAAGAAATACAATGGCTGGAGCAATTTCACCTATTTTTCAGTAAGTTCAGTAAGTTCTAGTGCTAACAATAAGTAGAATGGCATGGCTATTTTTTTCCCATCTTCACTTAATTTTATTTTATTTAACTCAAAGTCTGTCCTATTGAACAATAATTTCAGTGAATTACTGCTATTGTTACACAGTTATGTATTTTTAATAGCTCTAAATTTACTTTAGGTCTACTTTAAAATAAATTTAAAATAAAATAAATGTAACAAAAAAATTCCATCCAGATGTCTAGCACTAAGTGACAGGCAGGCACAGGTAACTCCCATGCAATTCTTACTTTTTAACTTGAATAGAATAACTATGCCTATGTGTTGCTCCCAGTCTCATGACATAGAAGTTCAGTGTCAGAAGAAATATCTGAACAAACAACATTTCTAGATCTAAAGCTCTGCATGGGACTACACAAAAGCATTCCGAAGCTTCAACTGGAGGTGTGGGCAGTCTTTGGGTCCCATAGAGAGGTTATGTTACACTGCTGTTCTGCAAGCTGCACTTGGCTGCTGGTTTGCTTTTGGGGTATTGGTTATCTATAAAATTCTGCATGGCATGAATCCAGGTTACTTGATCCATCTCAATCATGCTGGGCAGAGGACACATGCTGCAGATCTCATTGGTCAAGGAGCCTGGCTGGTGGGGTCCAGAATTAAGAGCCTTTTCTGCCATAGTGTTAGCCCTTTGGAACATGTTGCGCCCCTGGGGTGAGATCTGCCCTCACCCTTCTTCAGTAAGAGTCTGAAGTTCTGGCTGTGCAGTTTGGCCTAGGACCTCAGTGGAGGATATCACACTGGCAGTGGTAATGGACTAATTAATCCTACCTCCCCTGCTATACATCCTGCTTCCATAACTTTGTATTCTTACTCTTACTGTTTCGTATACTTATATATTTACTTACTGTTAGATTTATCTTATTTATTTATTTATGGTTTTAGCATTTTTAATGTAAGCATTAAAAGCATCTCATAGTGAGATGGACGACAAATTTCATAATTAAAAAAGGGTTGTTAGAGTGCTAAAGCAAATTGTATTTAAGTTTCTGTAAAATTAAAGTTTAAACATAATTACTGTTGTACCCTTTTCAATCTATAGGTGTTGTATCTCACTACAGTTCCCTTTGATCCTGAAGGAATTTTAGGAACAATAAATTCTGTTCTTATGGCATTTTTAGGACTTCAGGTATTATTTTCTCTTATCCTATGTAAATAGAAAAGCTTCATCAAATGCTATTTAGAAATATTACAATTCCCTATATGAGTATGAAAGGTAGGTGGTCCTCCCATTGGGATAATAATCCAAGTGTTGTTCAAATAGGTTTTTTTGGAACAACGCAAGGGAATACTTATTTTAATATTTCAAACAAGTGATAGAACTTCAGAATTAATGATTTAATAATGCTTTTATTTAGACTACAATACAGAAAAAAACTTAATATAGTTAAGAAAAGCATACTCCAAAATCAGATTAGATGAAGATATTAGTAGAACTATTTAATGCTACATTAGAGTACAATGTTTACATTATGAACTAGTTCTCAGTTTCACTACATTAGTCTGCTAAAGCCATCCTAAGCCACATTTAATGTTATTGTTTTTCTTCAAGGGAGGAAAAATTCTTTTGTTTTATAAAGATCAGCATAAGCAAATAATTCTTCGATTTTGTGTGTGGAGTATAATAATGGTAAGTTACAAATATTGCCTTTTTTATACTATATTTATTTCTCAATTCTTTTAACGTGTTTGTTGTTTTCTGGCAAATTTGGCTCGAAAGAGATGAATATTTCCTCAGTTACAATAAACTGAATTTCAGCTCTTTAAAGGATCACACTTAAAATGCAAATTAAAATATGCAAAATTAAGGTAAGAGTACCCTGTCATCTATAGATGGATTCAAATCACCATGTCCTGATGGACTACATCCCAGAGTTCTGAAGGAACTGACAAATGTGATTTCAGAATCGCTGAAAGAAGTGATTCTGTGCCAGGAGCTTTCAAAGTTCTTGGATCACTAGGGAACTGCCTGAAGATTGGAAAAATCTTTAAAAAGGAAAAAAATAGATCCACAAAAAAAAACCCAATCAGCCTGATATCAATCTCTGGGAATTGATATCTGCAAACGCCTAGAAGCAAATAAGGTTAAAATCAGAAGCCAAAACCATATCATGCCAAAAAAAATCTGATCTCATTCTTTGACAAAAGGACAAAATTAGTAGATCAGCAAAATGCATTTGATAAAGTAAACCTACTTCTTGGCAAGCTAGTGAAATGTGGGATAGACAGCACCTCCAGCAGGTGAGTTTGTAACTGGCTGACAAATTGTACTTAATGTGTAGTCTTCAACAAAACTACATCCACATGAAGGGAGATTGGCAGTGAGGTACCCAAAGATTCCATTTTCATCCCAATACTCTGCAATATCTTCATAAATGATATAGATGAGGGAATGGAAGGAAACTCATCAAATTTACAGAAAACACAAAACTGGCAGTAATAGCCAACATCCCAGAAGACAAGTTCAAGATAAAAAAACATCTTGACAGACTTGAACCCTGGGCTCTATTTAATAAAACAAAATTCAACATAGATAAAAAGATTTTACACTAAGGTAAGAAAAAACTGTCTAGGAATAAACTAGGTGAAACTTGGCTTAATGTCAGTAATTGAGAGGGACCTTGGAGTCCTTGTGAACAATCACTTAACTATGAGACAATAGTGTACAGCAGCAGCCAAAACCAATGCAATCCTAGGCTGCATTAATAGAGGGATAGAATCAAGATCACATGAAGTTCTAGTATTGCTTTACAAAGCTTTAGTAAGATCACACTTGGGATACTGTATCAAGTTTGTTTTGGGTTTTTTTTTAATACTGTATCAAGTTTTGATCACAATATAAAAAAGTTGTTGATACTCTGGAAAGAG